TATGCGATGGAAGGCCAGACTCCTTTCGTTGCTCATTCACATAATTCCAAAAAGTTTTCGGGTGAGATCGAAGCTTCCGTTGAACATCTCGTTGATAACGCCAATAACATTGGCGACTGGTTCGTTGATATGCATGATTGATCCTCGTATAACGGTCCTTAAGTTGTAGGGTGTGGTACTTGGTGTATTTTCTTAGCGCGGCTCTTTTGGAAGACTTTAACATACGGAGTTCACTTGTTTGCCAAGGATGATGTTTAGGAACTTTTTTCGGAACGTGTCGCTCGTTGACGCAAGCCAAAATATGCGAGAGCGTTGGGGCAGCTGCATTGACATCGGCAGGGACGAGTATCCTGTGCCAGTCCAAATTCGAAAAAAGTTCCCCGATACTGTCGTGGTCAGCATTTCGGAAATCGTAGGAGACCTCTAGGGGGGGTGGAATGACCTCAGGAATTTGGTTGCCTTCAAGTGCAATAACTAAAGGAGGATGGTATGAAACAGTGTTTATCAACGGAGAAACAGTATCCTAAGCGGTGACGAAGCAAAGGTCTAAGCTACGACTGCTCTCATTAACCACGTGGTTGATTTGCTTCAGAGTGGCGATACTGTAATGATCCAAAAAGCTTACAGCTCCAGAGTGAAATGTAGATCGGTCGTGGTCCGGTCGTAAGATGTTCGCCAAGAAATTGCCGGTAGATTGAAGTCGCCAATGATTATCATCTAGTCAGCAACTGTAGCGATCTCCATTATAGCTCGAATAGGCTGACTGTGAGATTCAATTAGCGTAGAGTCGCGATTTCGATCCGAAGGAAAGTAAACTACACACAAAAACAAAGTGCGGTCAGCGAGCTTAATGGCAATCCAAACTTGTTCCACACAATTCCATGAATCGTTTTCGATAACTTTTGCCTTCAATCCAGAGCCGACCGCTATGAGAACGCCTCCACCAGTAGATTTTCGGCTTTTATGGGGATTCCGATCGCATCGAAAAAGTTGGAAGGGTTCGATGTGCGGTATAAGAGGTGAGGAGAAAGGAAACTAGTGGACTCTTTCATTCTGACGGTGTTCTTATGCAACAGCAGACGTGACGTCACGTCTGTTGCTGCGTAAGAAGACGCGAGAACGAAAGAGTCCACTAGTTTCCTTTCTCCTCACCTCTTATACCGCACATCGGGAAGGGTTGTATACTAGATACGACCGCAGGGTTGACGATGGATAACGTCTGTTATGTGCTGTATACTTAATTGTGTACATTATATTTTAGGAATATTCCTTAATAACTCTTTTGCGAAAGTTTGGTGGCTCTGAAAAGGGCCGTTTTGTTGGGCTGATGTTGTTGACAATGATGGAACGGGCGACCTTGTTGGACGCTTATATAGTAGAACAGAAAATATCAGAGGTGTCAGATACTCGCATACGTACGTTAAACTCTTTCTTGATAATGTTGTGGCCCTGAAAAGGGCCATTTTTCCAACGCGCTCGGCGTAGTTGTACTTGCGGAGCAGACGGTGAATACGACCGACTGAGAACTGCAGCAGCTGGGCATTCCATGACGGCAGCCCAGTATACCGGAGCACTGGCACCAACGCACTCGGCGTAGTTGCCCTTTCGCCCCCAGGCTCTGCTGCCGCTGCTCTGCTGCCGTTGCTCTGCTTCCGCTGCTCTGGTACTGCTGCTCTGCTGCTGGGTCGACGATCGGATAGACAATGATGGAACGGGCGACCTTGTCGGACGCTTATATAGTAGAACAGAAAATATCAGAGGTGTCAGATACTTGCATCTGATGTCTCGGTTGGAGAAAGTATAAGAATATAAAAAAATCAATCGATTTTCACCATCTTTAGACAATGGTTTACTTTTAACCATTTTTCAATAGTTTACAGAATGAAATCAATAGTTTTGAAACATTCAGCAAATTGCTAGAAATATTTCCAATCGATTGATGCCAATATCTCGTAAATTTATCGAGAGGAGAGACGGTTGAGTTATTATCGTTCAAAACCTTTTAATTTTTCGTAACGCATCCAAAATGACTGTTTTCAATTTTGTACCCCCGTATGTTGCCGAAAGACGTTATCCAACGTCAAAACCTCGTATTCGGAACCAAACACTTGATTTGACAATGTGCGAGTCAGGGCGTCACAATATCAGCTACAATCGACCAAATCGATGCGACGAAGAGACTGCTGGCTTTCTTTTTCTGTTAAAGTCGAACAGCTTCGCAGCATTCTAGAACCTCAGTCGGCGTGCACAAACAAATGTTCAATCGCTTGTCTCTCTTTCTCCCGTCGCTCCATTGGTCTTTCTTTTAAGCTTCGGTGAAACAGATGAGCGAAAGAGCGCTCGATTTTGATAGTATTCTCTTTCATGAAACACATCAACAGAGGTTTCATGACGTATATGACGGAAAATGAAATTACACATTTAAAGCATTTCTCACGTGAAAACACTTGAAAATTACACGTAATATGTTTAATTTATCTTCCATCCACATATTTATCTAAAAAAAATTAACGAAAACGGGACATAACGCATTTTAAACAAATTGAAAGAGCGGTGATAGAGTGTTCGTGAAAGGGGATTGAAAGCCATAATGAGGTTTCGTTTAACTAGAAAATCGACGTTACTTACATTGAAAGCGATGAGCAAAGCAACGACGAGAAGATCCACAGCCAGCGTTTCCTTCTAAGCGTGCTACTTTTTCATTATCATTTCTTGCTGATAGTCTAGCTAGGCGTTATAGAAATGAAGCGTTGAACACGTTTGTTTGAGAGAAACAAAACTCGAGTTCATTTTAGAGCTTCGAAAATGTAGAGCCCTGGCTGCGAATATCGAGTCAAGTCTCAGTGAGAGCGATGATGTCGAAGCAACGATCCGAAACCGCTAAGCGATAATCATCGATGTTGGAATTCATCCCACCAGCGTTCTGGTAATACATGCAGATTGACCGTGACGATAAGTAGCCTGGCGGGGGCTGCATTGCGATCTAGAATTGCCAACGACATCAGGCAGGGGATGTTCCAAGACAGATCTTGAATTATAGTCGCCTGATTGGTAGATTCGGAAGACCCCCTCTCCGTTTCCGATCGCAGGACCGGGCCGACTCCGATGAGTGATATCAGCGGGGGGCGCGACTGCGTCGGAAGGACTGGGGGCTTCCAAAATACTGTCCACGGTGCGTCCCAGGGTTCAAGATGAAGAAGATGGAACCGGCTGATTCCATGTTCCCAAGACGTGCGTTTCCTTCGTTAGAAGATTCCTGTGCGCTGAAAATCAAACCGACTTCAGGCAGCGAATGATCAATGTTGAATTTATACTTGCCTGGTATAGCAAGTTGGAAGAGCCCGAAGAGCCTCAACCCACATCTAAACTCAGGGCCGGGACGGCTGTGGTGAACGTTGGCAGGAAATAGCGCGACTGAGATAGAGGAACCGGGGCTTCCACTGTGCTATCTACGGTGCGTCCCGGTTGGAAAGTAGAACCATTCGTCAGGAGAGGGGAAGACAACGACGCCACCTCCTTTTGCGTCTCGGGTATTGGTGAGAATCTGGATGTGGGGGAATTCATCACGCAACGAAAAATTCGAATCGTAAAAATACTTGCCAGTGCAAACATGGTGCAAGACCCCATTTCTACCACCAACCTCAGAACCGAGACGACTGTGATGAACGCTGGCCGCAGTTGGCGGGACTGGGATGGGGCGATTGAGGGCTTCCATCAGGCTTTCTACGGTGCGTCTCGGATGTATATCGTCAGATGGCGTGATTAGACGTTGTCGGTTGTGCTGGGCGTTCCTAAAGGGACTGGGGTCCCGAAAGGGCTACCAGTCGGAGTGCCAACGGGAATTATTTTTGGGTAGTAATAGGTACTGGGGCATCAGATGGTAGCCATACAGTATTTTTCGTCTGCGTGTCCTCAAATTCTGTAAACGCAATCCCCTTAGGCCAAGTTCCAGGGCCAAAGCGGCTTCTTTGAGTCCCAGAGGAACGCCGACCTTGTACGAGATGAAGTTCATCGTTCGTAGGTCAGTGCCTTTTTTCACCAAAGAAACCACTTTGATTGGTTCGTTCGTTTGCAGTCCATCGCGAACAAGTTTCTCAACCACGGCTTGCTTCACGCTAGGATAAAAAAGTGAAAGATAAATCCAACACATATCCGATGCAGAAGTAGTAGCAAGCGTTTCGCTATTTCCGATGATCCTGGTCCCCGTACCTGGTTTGTTCGATGTTTCAGCATCATCCCGGCGGCGTTTTGAGGGGCGATCACGATTCGGTACTGCTGGAACGCCGGAGCGTTCACCATGTCAGCGAGTTTAGCGACTTCGTTGTTGTTCTTGGCCATTTCATTTTTCAGCTCCAATATGGCGGTCAGCGGATTGCCAATCGCCGTCGAAATTACATTGCCGAGAGTCACATCGCGATGGCCGCCACAGTATGGCTCCCAGCGGACGATGATGGAATTGATGGCTTTCAAAGCGTTGAGCGTCACCGATCGATCATACACGTCCACGAATCTAGCTCATATTTGAGTTTCGATCTCTCAAATTTTCAAAAGCGTAGATCACTTAATACTTGTAGACTGATTAATGTTTAATCAAATATATGTAATTGTCACTCATATTTGAGTAAAATTTTACTCATTCTATAAGCGACCTATAGGTATACGTTTTTGCCAATTTGAGTAAACGCAACTCAAATATAAATGATATTCAATGGCCTGGGTGCGTGCTTTGCTTCTCAGCTCAGATTTATTTTCTCAGATTTGATTTTCCAAAGGAGCTGTTCATAAACTACGTAGACAGTTTTTGAAAGATTTTAGACACACTCCTCCCTCGCGTGGACATACAAACTTACGAAAATTTGTATGAACCGTAGACATTCGTAAAATAACCCCCCCCCCCTCCCCACATACAGTGTCTACGCTTAAAAAACTGACCGTAACCAACCAGCGCCCGGAGAACAAAAGTACTTTTTTTCCGAATTGTCATCAATAGTAGTAAGCAAACCTGTTTGTGATTCCAATTCGCAGCAACTTTTGGTCTATAATGCCGCGTTCCTCAGTTTACAGATAAATATTGTGAGTCAGGTGTAAAAGTAAGTCTATCGTAAAACTAAGCTAAGCATATCTAAATCTACGCGAACCCTAACTAACCTTACAGGCTACAACGAAAAAAAGCTTGACACATTAACTTAGCAAAACCGTCAGTGCATCGAGAAATTTAGTACAGTCCGAGTGTCGTATCTGAATGACGGCGGTTTCGAAAAAGTCCTGCGAAACCGTCGCCCCACTCTTGAGAGCCGCCTGTTCGAATGCTTTGCCGAAGAAGTTTTTACTGTCCTCACATACGGGCGGGACGCCGACCAGTAGCGAAAGGCCTCGATTCACATCGATCGGTGCCACGGCAATCAGTGGCAGCTCCTGCGCCCTTCGATTTCGGGAGATAGCCACGTGACCGCGTAGTAAGAAGCGCGCCAGCATCAGCAGACCGTACGGGCAGGTGAAGAACGGTATCTCCTCTTGCAGGATGAAGTATAGGAACGGGCCGGCTGAGTAAACGGCGTGCAGTTCCAGTGAGCTTTGCACCTGCCTGAAGATGGCCGATAGGAGCGTTTTACACATGTCGATACCACCGTCGAGGATTTCCTTGTTGTTGCGCGACAGGGCGTCCATCGACTGGAGGAAGCAGGTTTCTGGGGTGCGGTCTTTCTTGATGGATTCCAGGATGGCCAGCATCGAGTAAACGTAATCGGCGGCGGAGTACTTGTTGCGGTAGCCGTACTGCAGGATGAACGATCCGTAGATTATGTCCGGAAGGTGGTATTTTTCAGAGAACTTCTCCATTTTGTCGTAAAACTCCTTTCGCAGTTCCAAATCCATGGCATTGAAGGTTTGTTTAGCTTGTACCAGAGGTAGCCCCATGTCAACAAGCAATTCATGCATTACTTTCTCGCCCTTGTAAGTCCACAGTTTCATCTTGCAGGCCGGATATATGGAGTACTTTAAGGAATCCAGGACACTCCAGTGTCTGTACAGTGCCAAATGGAGATCGTTTTCGAAGTTTATCTTCACAGAAGTCTGAATCGCTTGATCACTGGCTTTGTTGGTTAGACGGGACACGTGTGATTGAACGCTGTCCGTGGCCAATGTGTACGTCGAACTTTCGACCTTTCCCAGCAGCAATTGTTCCGTCAAGCCTACAATGGCCCACCAGAGCAGGTCGATTGAATCCTTCGACAAGTGCCAAGCTAGCTCGAATATGGTCAAAGCCGAACTACGTCCGTAGTAGCTGAACTGGGTGTATTCGAACATGATTCTGTTACGCTTTTCTTCCCAAACGCGTTGCTGGCGACGCTTCAACAGACGCTCCTCGATGCGCTGCAATCTGGTCCGTTCTCGACTACCCTTTTCTTCATCATCGCTGTTTTCGACTTCATCATCATCGTCCTCGTCGTCATCTTCTTCATTGTCTGTGTCCTGGAAAATCTCCTCGAAACTTGGCACTTTATCATCGTGACCGAGTTCGCCTATGATTTGAACCTGAGGAAAAGCAATTCAAAATCAAATGGTTGTAAACTTGACATTCTCAATGGTCACACACCTGCGCATCACTGTAAACATTGCAAATGTGGTACGGTCGGTGCGAGTCACAGATGAAGAACGTCACGTCCTCCACCGGTTGTAGAACATCCACAATGTCGATGCAGCCCCCACAATTGATCAGAAGCACAAACTTGGCGTCATCTTTGTTCTCATTGTACGCCCGTACCATCCCGCTGATGCCCATGATGGGCACAATCGAATATAGCATGTTGTCATACTTGAACAGCGCCTGAAGGATCTTACTGGTGCAGATGGCATCGATGTCATAGTTCACTATCACCACGACCCGTTTCCCGATCAGCCGCTCGTAGAAATCCTTCCGCAAGTCGTCCACAAACATGCTTGATCAGCTGGATATGTTCCGCCACCGAGGAAGGAAAAAGTCAGTACCTACACTAACGTCCAGCACAGGTGCACACACAAAGGCAAATCAATAGATGCACACTCTATCGCATTCGAGTAGAGCTTCCCGAACGCGGAAAAAAACAGCTCACAATCCGAACACCAACATTTACACTACACAATTTTGTGCATCACAGTGTTCTTTCAAGCTGCACGCTTTCCTCTGGAAGGATTACTTTCACAAAACACGTACTATCCACATAAATTTTTGAAAAAATCCCGAGCTGATGTTCGTCGCTCGAACATAAACATTCTTTCGTCGTTTGCGCGCCGAAAGTTTGAAAGGGCTCACGTCAAATGGGTGTTACGTGCGTTACATACATCGAAAATTTGCACAAAACAAAAACCGATACGCTGTCGACCTAATGCTCGCATACCGCACTGATGACAGACTGTGAAGGACATAACTGTTTTGCTTACGATTTCATGAATGAACTTTTGTTGTTGAATGGGATTTAGTTTGTTGTGTAACCTTGAAGTATACGCACGTATACGCAATGTACCGGTAGATTGTTTTAAGGTTTAGTGTTTAGCATTATTAGAGACTTTCAGCACCTGACTGGTTCATCTCATTTGTTTTAACTGTTATTGTGCTATGATTCGAATAAACACAATCAGAGCTGTTTGGTATCATCAGTACAAATAATCCGGTAAAACCATGTTCAAACGAATAGTGGTAGGAGTCTCCGGTGGTGTAGACAGTGCCGTTACGGCTTACATGCTGAAGCAAAGAGGTAAGAGCGATCACGTTATACTGAAACATCGCATACGATTAAACTAAACAGTTTGAGGGTATATTCTGTGCCGCGAGTGTGGTGAGGTGACAATAGGTGACTCCATTTAATTTGCAATGAGAGTCACCTCACGTCACTCGCGGCGCAGAATAAGGGGGTTTACCTTTTCGATTTTCGACTACAGGTATACCTCGATATAACGTCACTATCACTTTTGACTCCATCGTCAATATCTCGCTAATAACAATTGAATCATACACATTAATATTACCAATAGATGTGGTATTATCTCATCTATCCGATGGTGTTATTAATTAGCTTGTTTGAATGACCATATACGAAAAATCAGCGATGGAAGTCAAAAGTGACAGTTACGTTATATCGAGGTATACCTGTATTTAAAATTTGTCTGGCAACGTGATCACTTCACTGACTGTCACAGTCAAATTTGACTGTCGACATACAATATTTTGGACGTCATTTTCTTTGACTGTGAGACCTTTTCAGCATTGATGTATGATAATAACACTGTACGAACAGTCACCGTGAAATTATATTTTTGACAGTGGTTTATGTAGACCGTGACCACATTGGAAGGCAATCTTTGAGTTTATTCATTCTATACAGAGCTGAAAAAGGACCTATCTGCTTTGATCGATTCTCTTCATCGACTTTCTCTTTTGATAACCACGGCTATGCAAACAGTTTTCGTGCTATTTATGCCACATAGCATATCGTCCAAATCGTCAAATACAACAGGGAATGTTGTTGCAGCTGAGTTATTACCGAAAGAGGAAGTCGATGAAGAGAATCGATCAAAGCAGATAGGCCCTTTTTCCGGCTCTGTATCGCATTTATTTATTTGTTCGCCAACAGGCTACTTTAAGCACCAATTGTGGATGATGCCTTTGACACCTTTATGACCCTTAAAATTCAGTTTACATCAACGATAACATTCAATTATTCAACAGTAACAATAATCGGAACAAGCATTGCAAGAAAATAAGTTTGCAAGAGAATAACAAATAGCATTACAAAAAGTGATTCTAGCATGTAGATGTTTTAAAGCCGTGCCACATCCGGTAGGTCTCCAAATGTTTCTTGGACGTTTAATAAATTCTCGGTACCTCACTCCAGTGGGTCAGGAATCTTCACGTAGCGCTATCCGTTTCAGATTATCGTTCAACTTAACTTTAAATAAAACATAAAGGGTGGAACGGTTAAAAAATGGTTAATCAATAATAATTAAGTGCACACTGATTATGCTATTGTATAAATGATCAAACTTTATTTCTTTTTGAAGTTCAATGGCTACAAAATACAGGAAAATTATTTGATTAGGCATCCGATTTTCCAAATGCGAACTGTCGGGCTTTACGTTTTACAGCTTCCATCAGATTTTGTACCGCTGTTGTATCAACCTTATATAAATTGGCGTTCAGCATCAAATTTTGATGCTGAACGCCAATTTTCTTTGAGCTGTTTCTCGTCTGCAAGTTTGTTTTTTTTTTCTGAGTTTTCTTGAGGTTTTGCTTAACGATTGCCCAATATTTTTCGATTGGGCACAGCTCCGGCAACCGGTGGAAACTAACGATTTTAAATTGGCTCACTACTTGAGTAGCCTATTGGTCCCAAGCAAATCGATTAACGTATCCCATTCTAGTCAAAATTCTTGTACTACAAAATGTTTGTTTTGATTTGCTATGAAAGTTTGACAGATAAAATGAGAGGTTCGTGGATTTTCCTATGTTTCGAGGGGTGCATCGATTAGCTTGGGACCGAAGATAGTACCAGAGCTGAGCCAAAAAGTTGAGCACGTTTTTTCGGGACCTACTAGTCTTAGAGTTACCTCTATGGCTCCGGCGAGGTTGGAGGATTTTTGGGTACGACTTGGACGTTACCATTCCTGAGCCATTTACCCATAGTGACAGGAAGCGTCCTGTCCTTTTCCGATAGCCGTGTAAAACTCTTGACCTGAGAACCGCCGTCATATGAAAAGTTATTCCAATCGAGCAGAAGACCTGTCAAATGGATAAGATGTCGCCTCTTTACCCAATTCAGTCTCTGTCTGCGGCTGTGGAATAGTTCTAGCCGAGGTTCTAGCGACGTTCATCACTACCTACAGCCCCATGTGAACTTTTTTGCCTGTTGATTTGAGAAAATACCATCCATTAATGTATGAGCTAGGTAAAGGAGTGTGTGTTTGACTAGAACTAGTACTGTCTCATTAATACTTCGCTCAATTTTCACACTGCCGTACTCTAACGAAACTATCAACCTATCCTATTCAGAACTTTCTCTAGCTAATACATTTTCACACTAAAGCTTCATGCCGATATTAGTATAGTATTTCCTCCCAACTCTAATGATTGTACTTTTTAATTACACCGAAGACAACATATCAAGGAGACTGACAACTTTTCCAAAAGCTAAGAGTCAAACGATGGGTAACCCTGATTTTTGTTTTTCGCAGGTTTCGACGTTCGGGGAGCATTTATGAAAAACTGGGACCTGATAGACGAGTCCGGTTACTGTTCCGGCGAGCAGGACTGGCTAGACGCCCAGAAACTCTGTCGCCAACTGCAGATTCCCCTCGAGCAAATTAACTTCGTCAAAGACTACTGGCTTGAAGTGTTTGGGTAGGACCAATGTCTTCCAAACCGATTATGAATAACGGAATAACTTATGCTACCATTTTAGGAGCTTCCTCAAGGACTACGACGCCGGCATAACGCCTAATCCGGACATCCTTTGCAATAGGCACATCAAATTTAACCTATTCTACAAGCACGCCCGGGAGAAGATGGGAGCGGACGCAATCGCCACCGGCCACTATGCTCGTACGAACTTCGGACCGTTTCTAGAGATGTTCAAAGAACAGGGCCCCATTCGTTTGCTAGCCGGTGTGGACGATATCAAAGATCAAACGTTCTTCCTCTCGCAAATCAGTGCCGAAGCTCTGCGGTGCACAATGTTCCCAATCGGTGGTATGACCAAAGCGGAAGTGAAACGGTACGCAGCCGACGTGGGACTGGAATCGTTTGCTAGGAAGAAAGAAAGCATGGGAATTTGCTTCGTGGGGAAGCGAAGCTTTCAGGACTTTATCGCGGAGTACATCGAAACGAAACCGGGTGATTTTGTGGATTTCGATACGGGAAAGGTGGTAGGGGCGCACAAAGGTCTGCACCATTGGACTGTGGGACAGAAAGCGAAAATAGGAGGATGTCTACAACCGTACTATGTGTTTCAGAAACACGTGGAGAAGAACGTTATTTTTGTGGTATCGGGGACGGATCATCCGTTGCTAGTGACGGATATGGTCTATGTAGAGAGTCCCATTTGGATCAACAAGCCGAAGGAGTTGAGCAGTGGGGTGTTTAGGTGTCAGTTTCGGTTTCAACATACGAAACCACTGGTGCATTGCAGTTTGATAGAGACTAGTCAAGACGGCAATAGACTGTTTGTTAGGTTAGATGAAGCATTGCGGGCGATAACGCCCGGACAGTATGCGGTGTTCTATAAGGATGAGGAATGCTTTGGCAGTGCTAGGATTGCGAAACCAGGTCCCTCGGTAGTTTACGGTAGCGATAGGTCAACGGTAGCGATATGTGGATAATGAAGTAGGAAATTTATATTTACAGCTTGTTAAACCGGATTGATATTCGTAATTATTGTGCTTGATGACTATTCCATATGACTACAGTGAATTATTGTTGGTACTTTGATATGTTTGGACTTACCTGATAAAGATAGTTTAACTACATAACAATTGGCTTCAGAAAACAATTTTGCTTGAGCAGAATCGGTCGAGAATGGTTTGTCTTGTTTATTTATTTATTTGATGGGTCGCAAACTGCGATCCGCTGGTCACGATAACTGAATACTACCCATAATCGCATATCAGTCCCATCTTTGCTTGATTTCCTATGCATATGGGACTGATATGCGATTATGGGCAGAATAGCTCTGCAATATATTATATCAGTGCTAACATTTCAAAGGGGCGTAATTGAGTTTGTAAGCAACGACTTTAGTCGTCGATTTCTCGCGAATGAAAGCTCACTCATGAAAATCACCAGCAGGTAGAGGAATGTTTCCTGTCTCAGATAGCATTGGTGATTTGGAGGGGAGGACTTTTATTTGCGAGAAATCGACGGCTAAAGTCATTGTTTACAAAAGCAATTACGCCCCTTTGAAATGTTGGCACTGATATGCATATAAAAGAGGGGGAGGTACATACAATGAAGAACTGGAATACTCAATAATGCCACCCACTCTAAGCAGTCAAGGCATTTCTTGTCTAATAATCTTCGCGTGTGTGTGTTTTTTTTTTGGCAAGGAGGAAACCTTCAAAATAGCGGCGCCGGTGGTGTAGTGGTAAGCGTGATTACCTATCACCCCAGCAGGCTAAGCAGGCCTAATCACGTCTTCCTTCGGAAGGGAAGTAAAGCCGTTGGTCCCCGGTTCATGAGTTGATGGGTCGATAGGTAGGGTCAAGGTGTGGGAGCTGCCTTCCTGGCGTCGGTAGCATTGGTGCTCAGCACGGAAAACAAATCAAGGAAAAAAAAAGAAACCTTCAAAAGACCATCGTGCCACCGCTTGATGACTGGATGCACAGTCGCGGTGACACGGTGTGTGGGATTCTTACCGCACTAAAGCCTCCTTGGACGCCTTGCCCTTTTCCACCGGAACCACTTGTCGTATTACTTCGGAGGGAGCCGTGCATTACGCACCTCACTTTACCTCATCTAATTGGCGCTTCCAGTTCGCTCTCCAATTAATCATGTTTTGTTGTTTTTGACATCATCCACATCCAGAGGGCCAGTCACTTTCGAATGTATGGGAATGGTAGGAAACCATTTGGAAATGCATGAAAATTTTCAGTTTTTATTCATTATCGTCTTTATGAGCAGATTTAGATGCCCAAAAATTGCACGAGTACATTACTATGGTGATAAGGTAAACACTCGTTTATTTGTTTCCTTCTGTGAAAGCATGTTTAGTCACAAATCGTGGATTTTCTGATATTCTCCATACTGCAAAAATGATTTTCCTACCACTGAAGGGGCGACATCTCTCGGATCTTCAGTATAGCTACTACTCAAATCATATAATTAATTTGTGAGCCATTTAGCTCCCAGCGTTGCGTTCTACTCGGTTAACCCCGGTGGTGGATTCAGCCTACTCTGACGGAGAGTTCTCTCGGCTTCGGCTTTCACTTCGCACTAAGTGAGAGCATTATTGAGTGTGAGCACATTACTACCAACAATCAATACGAAACTAACGATTTTAAATTGGCTCGCTACTTGACTAGCCTATTGGTCCCAAGCAAATTGACTAACGTACCCCCTTCTAGTATAAATTCCAGTACTTTGTTTTGATTCGCTATGAAAATTTGACAGATAAAATGAGGGGTTAGTGGATTTTTCGAGGGGTGAATCGATTAGCTTGGGACCGAAGAGAGTACCAGAGCTGAGCCAAAAAGTTGAGCACGTTATTTCGTGACCTTCTAGTCTTAGAGTTACCTCTATGTTACTACTTTCTAGCTGGTCTTCTCGCCATTTTCGCTCCGCGCTAAGGGCGAGCATATCCTCTCACACAGCATCAAATCTAGGACATTTGAAGACCACGTGCTCTGGTGATTCTTCAACATTCCCACACTCCGGACAGAAGGGTGACGTTGTGTGTCCGAACCGATGCAGGTACTTCCTGAAGCAGCCATGACCAGACAGGAACTGCGTCAAATGGAAGTTGACTTCTCCATGCTTCCTGTTCACCCAGGTCGAAAGAATCGGTATTAGCCTGTGTGTCCATCTACCGTTCTCTGTTGCATCCCACTCCTGCTGCCACTTAGCCATCGACACCATTCTCACCATTTTTCGTACTCCTTTGGTTTCTCTCGTCATATAGCACTCGTAACCCTCCGCCAAGGTGATGCCGATTGGGATCATACCGGTGATAACGCACTCACGACTCGCAAGGCCATGAGCCGGAACGTACTGCTCAATTTCCTTTGGTTCTGCTTCGTTTTCAGCGACGTACCTTAGTATCGATGAGGACACACTAGCCAGAAGACGCCTCTTGCTGCTGCTTGGACCAGAATTGTTCGGCATGATTCTGGCTATTGCGTTGATGATCTTCGCCACCTTCTCTCAAGCATATTAGATGTGGCTGTTAAAATTTAGCCGGTCGTCGATCAGCACTCCCAGATACTTCAGCACGCACTTTGAAACAATGGTGTGCTCTCCAACGGTTATTTCTGCCCACTGCACTGCTTTACAGTTACTGATCAACATCAGTTCTGTTTTGTGGTGGGCTATCTGTAGCTTTGCTCCTTGCATCCAGTTACCAATCGTATCTATCGCCTCGGCTGCCAGCATTTCCACTTCTTCAAGGGTCTCACCTGTTACCGTCAAGATGATATCGGGCAGCTTGAGCGTCAGCACGCCATTGTACATTCCGTTCCACAGCGTGGGACCTAGAATGGAGCCTTATGGAACTCTCGCCGTGATCCTAAGCGATTTCTGCCCCGTGTCTGTCTCGTAGACCAGAACCCGCTTCTGGAAGTAACTACTTAGAACTACTACTGGAACCCTCGTTCTATGGAACGCCTTGGCGATGGCCTTCCAGCTGGCGCTATTGAATGCATTCTTCACATCAATCGTAATCACGGCGCAGTATGGATCTCCTCTCCGCTTCTGTTTGGAAGCTTTCTCGGCTCTGTCAATCACTGTCCGAATTGTATCCACCGTCGATCTCCCTTTCCGGAATCCGAACTGCCTCTCCGACAAACCGTGTTCACTCTTCGTGCATTTCGAAAGCCTGTTCAGGATGATCCTCTCCAAGAGCTTTCCGACAGTATCCAGCAAGCATATTGGCCTATACGGTGCAGGATGTGTGTGTATTCAATCTAACCCCCACTGGCCGGCAGTGGTATTATGGAAGAAAGTCATCTGCAATATCAGTATGAATCAGTATGCAATATCAGTAGTGCGGTTCTAAATTCGTCTGGTGTTCGACCGGCTATGGTGACCAGTGGGTGACGATAAGACTCATCGAGACCCCCCGTCCCCGCCCCCGACAAGACAAACAAAAACTAATGAAAAGAGACAAAAGTCAAAGGAATTAAATTTTTATACTAGATCTAGATATTTGCAGAAACACATAAATCGACTGCATATAGCAGAGCTCGCGGGTTTTCAACACGTCTCTGATAGGGCCTCGAGGGTATTCATTTGATGATGATATGGAACTACTACTCACTATCGGTAGACTGTGGACTATCCTCGTTGTTCGACTTGATCAAGTTTAATAATCTCTAATTGTACACAACCTGCCATTGTATGAAGGGCCAAAAACGGTTTGGGTGAATCCGTGGGCAACATCGCCCAAGTGCATCAACGGGATAAATGAGAATCTCCTTCCAACAACAGGATCATACAACCGGTAAAAAACAGGCCATCCAACAGGAGAATGTACCAATGAGTGGGAAGAAGAGCCCGCCCTCTTTTCACGAAATGTTAAAGACAGGCAGTGGGCATTTCCACTCTTCCCATCCATTTCGCATCAATCGGGTGCCCTGGTGGACCATCCCATCCCCATCAGCTAAATGTTTCATATAATAATGGAATGAAAGTTAAAAGATCGCACCCGATGTTGCAAAGGAATCCATGACATTACGATGATTTCGAAGAGCTCCGGTGTTAAAGACAGCACTCTCGCCTTTCGTTCCTCACACAGCAGCGTAAACCTTCATCAACCACGAAACACACTCTGCTCCAACTAGAGGGACTTCAGCAGAGAAAAAAAGGACTGCATTCACTTTCCATCACCAATCACACGCGACACAACGGCTTCAGTTCGCCAGTACCCAGTCTGTAAGATGCAGCGCCAGCTCCTCACCGGCCGAATCAACCCGCGACCAGCACCGAAATCAGAACAGACAACTCCAGTGACCGAAAACCAGAGGACACGGCACACTTTGATTGCATTTCTGAAACACAACGTCGACAACATTCGACAAGCAAATGTCCGGGAGGCGGAACGCCAGCTCGCAGCAAGCAAGGGAAAACAAACTGCTCACACAGAGCACAGCACGAGCTGAACTGATATCGTTGAAAGCCAAATACAAAATCTCTCTGAGATTCCCTGAGTTTCCAGGTCAAAAACTGAATTCCCTTAGATTACCCGATTTTCCAGGTAGTCGATACCCTGTCTATTTACAATTTGATTTAATTACAAACATCCTCTAACCACACCGAGCAATTAAACTTAGAAATATCGCACTGGACTTTCGGATCAGTTAATATCGTTAACCGTCGAAATTTCTCAATAGTAATTTATTCTCACATCTTTTCTAATCAAAGTTGCATAATAATACATCTTCAGTGCTTCCAGAGCTTTTAGTTAACCCATTCCTGTTTCCAGTTTCCTGTACACATAATCGAATCGCTTTGGCCATACGCAACTAAACTGAAATTGAACCTGTTCTAGAATCCTCGGTTTGTAACCACGCAATCCAATTCAGCGAACAATTCCCTATCAGTTTAGCTACATACGGCCTAGAATACGATTCACACTAGCTGTTGAGATAGCAATCTAATATTAACTATCCAACATACATTGAACTTATCTTATAACCATTTTATTGGTTCATGCTTCAAACAGCCTGATTGCAGGATTGCTAAACTTTATTTTTTTCCATGATACAAAAGCAGTCCACTATAGAGACGTAAGCTTTCTCTCAAGTGAAACTAATATAAAAATTAATATCTTTTCTTACTTTCTGCCAACGATGGACTATTCACATTTAGTGTCTGATGAATGAAAACAAACTTATAGGATACACTGTGAGGATGTGGTTGCGTTGGGTGTCTGTGAGGGTGGGTGCCTGTGATAAAAACAAATCTTGCCTAACTAAAGTAAATACGGTACGGCTAAGAATGGTCAGTTTTCGGCTGGGGTTATCAATCATTCACGTTAAGGCGACACTTTGACCGGTTCCTCCTCTGGACTGAAGAACAGTGCACTAACAGCAAACAGTAGGAAAACGACACCACCAATGAGAGTCACTGAAAAGTAGAATATACGAAATTAGAGAACCTCGTGGACGTTCAATCATCAGGGATCCTTACCAGTTCTGACGGAGATTTTCTGCGCAATCATCCGACCTCCTATCACGGCCAACCCGGTACAGATCGCATGGCCAATGATGCCACCGAGGATGACACCGTATACATTTTCGCGAGCACTCAGGATGATCGTGGTCAGTTGGGACCGGTCGCCCCATTCGGCCAGGAAGGTCATCGTGAAGGCCTGCATTAAGATTCTTAGCAAAAGATTCCACGCACTACTTTTTTTATTCTTGCGGATTACGCCCGTTTCGGCATCCTGGACGACGGTAGCCGTCGTTTCACGCTCCAGCTGATCGTTGCAAACACGTACAAAAACGCAAGGGAAGAGAACAATGATAACGTTAGATGAATCTTTAAAGAGCAGAACAAAGGAAGCACTACTTAAAGCTGGCGGGATTTAATAAAAAGCATTAGCCACAACAAAAAAAAACGCAAATTAAATCAATAAACAGTAGTAGGAACATATTAAAAAGCACAGGAATGAAGATAACAAAACAAGGATCCTAAACCAAATTAATATTCGTGTGGTGTATTTGTGTATGTGGATGTCCTTGGATTTGTAACTAAAATAAATAGATTTGGCAATAAAATTAGGGACATAATAAAAAGCTAACAGGCTCCTGAGCCACGCCTACAGTCCTTAGCATGGATGCCAGAAAGGGTATCTTTGCGAACGCACATGCTTCCCTATCAGCACCATTTGTTCCATATCGGTTGTTGAAATTTGTAGATGACTGCTGCAACTTTTAGTGATGTAAGTTTTTTACTTGGGTTGCGACGTTCCGTACGAGCAACTTAAGTTGTTTGAATACACCATTATTTTCTTCTAAGAATCTGCATGCTAGAAACAGAAACATTGCACCTCAGGCAGCTGCGAAGATACGCGATCCATTCACGAGCTGTTCAAAAGATGCGATTCACTAAAGTGAGCGGAAGACCCACCCAATTTGTATATACCAATTTAGGCTGTGTTAAATTTGGTGAATTTTCACTTCATTTGTGAGATGGAAATTTTTCAAATAGCCCTGCTATTGTAGCAAACTTGTTTCTGACAGACAAGGAATCAATTTTGGCAAACACCTAAATTGTCCATTTGTATCAATTTTAAGTGAAAATTCACCAAATGGAACACAGCCTTAGTACCTGTCGTATTCGTGGAGGAATAGAAAAGATCCGATGAGCTGAGCGAGTCTAGGGAAAGAAAAATTTCCGGAAACTCGCTCCCAGTGAAACATTCGGTTAGGTAAATGGAAGGATAGAAAAGATCCAATAAGCTGAGCCTTGGGAAAGAAAACAGCTCCCGGTGAATCGTTCAGTTCAGCGATTCGGCTCCGGAGCTGAGCAGTGAGCTGATGAGCTGAAACTGCGATTCGTCTTTGAACATTTTCAAGCCAAATAGGGGTAAGAGGGGCATAGTGAACAGGTGGGGCATAGTGAGCATCCCATGCCCCAGCTTGGTCTTCCGGCCGTTCGGAACAGATTGGTTGGTGTTAGGATCAATATCATAATGATATTGAACCTACTACCAGTTGATTTGTTTCATTCAGCTGGAGATCCAGAGCCAAAGTGCGGAATGCTCACTATGCCCTATCTGTTCACTATGCCCCTCCTGCCCCTAGTAAGAAAAAAATTTCAGACTCTACCTTCCCCGATTTGTATGAAACGTTGTATATTTGTTTGTGATGGTGAATCATTCACATTTGAGCTAAAAATCACCCATTTTGAATCTGGCGAATTTGATATTTTCAACATCATAGATCCATCAAACCAAAATGACGTCTTCGACGAAGTTTTAGGAAAAGATTGAAGGGCGTTTCACAAGTGTATTTTCGATTCAAGCCAACGCATAGTAAGACAACGTAAATTTTGGCTGCAAAAAACTGCCATTTTCAGAGAAATTAAAACTTCGAAATTGGCAAAATTTTGCTTTAAAACCGCTTTACAAAGCATATGAGGCGAATTTAAATATTGGTGTTTTCAGAAAAGTTGTGCATTTTAATGATATTGAAAACTTTGCAGAACATGTCAAATCGATTAGTTAAGATTTATGATGCAAAAAAGTAAAAAAAAACTGCTTTTAAGTTAGTCCTGACAAAAATCCATTTATATCTCGCTAGACTTGTGACGTAGAAACTTGGTCTATTCAACTAAGTTTAATGAAATTCATAGTTCTGCAACTTTGTCTAAGACATGAACACATTATCTTGTGATTACAAAAAGTTAGTTTTTCTAAGTGTATTACTAAGTGTACATGCATTATTCAAAAGAGGCAGAATAACATTATAATAAACTTCTTTGAAGACACATAAACGCCAAAGCATCGAGAAAAGCGAGAAAAGGATTGTGACCGTCTTTTTACATAATGGTTCCACTGTGCAACGTATTGATGCACGTATTAAAGTATGTTTATCAAAAAACCTATTATCACAGAGAACAGACGTTGAGGCTCGAATAAAATTTATCTAAAAACTAGTGTAAAGATTTCTATTCGACTTAGGCGCCACTAACGCGACTTCCCCACTTAAAAACCCTCTTTGACAACCTGATGGCGCTAGCGTTGCACAATTTACACTAGATGCTGGTCGAGGTGCTGGTAGCGCCAAGTGGCAATTTTCAACAGAAAATGTATCGAGCGTCAAATTGGTCGAAAGTGGAAAATTTGTAGATGAAGTCAGGAGATGCCAGCGCCACGTAACGGCGATGTTCCCACTTATCTTTACACAAGTTTCTGACCGAAGTTGGACGTCTGTTCTCTGTTGTATTATGTTGCATTTTTTGGATATAATATATTTACTGTGTATAAAATAATATATTTTCTGTGTATAAAAGTGTATTTTTCTTACGTGAAGGTATTTCTATCAGTTCTAAGTGTATTCTGTCATTTCAGTATTTATGATTACCACTCGAACCGAGGATCAAACGGATCAAACTCACAATGTCATGTTTTGATGTTAAAGGTTGAACACGAAAAAATCTGGACACTTTAAAAACGCTGCCATTAAAGCATTTTCTGCGTAATTTTTTTTTTCAGAATTTCACTGAATCAAACTAAGAGTGTATAGAATCACAGTAGGCATTGGTTGTTAGGATAAGTTCATTTGTTTACATCATGGCTTCACCGGAGCCACGCTCAAAACGAAAATCCTGGTCCATCCGCTCCTGGTAGTTTTCGATCAAATTCATGGACATGAATTGTATACCTCGGTTGACCAGAAGAATGTAAAATCAAAAATAAGTCGAAATTCCTCAAAAAGTTCCTTGTCTGACAAGCAATATGCAGTTGCCAAGTGGTTTCCAAGGAGATGAATCCAGCCAATTGAGGAATACTGGTCAATTGTGAAGCACATACTGAAGAAAAAGGGTGGAACTGTAATTGAACTGAAGGATTTCAAGCGGCAATGGAATTTGGCAGCCACACAAGTGGGAACAGGACTCGTGCAAAAGATGATGGGCCGTGTACGATGAAAAGTACGAGCAATGGCCTATGGTAAGAAGGAATACTGAAGCTTACAATAAGCATAATACCTACTAATATATAGCTGTTACATTGAACTATGAAAAATAATACGCATTTTTAAACCCCAACAAGATTTTCGTGTCCGGATTGTTTTCGTGTTCAACCTTCAGTTGACGTTTTTTACAAATGCATCAACCACACACTTACTTTAAAATATCCACTGATGAGTAGTATTTCACCCATTTTGAAGAATAGAGGCTTAACTCATTAATTCATTACCTTGCTCATTACCCATTCATAAGCATCAGTTACCCATTATTGAATGAGTGATACTAATTTGTGGGTCACAACTACTCATTAATGAGTAATTGAGTTAAATGAGTTTCTAAATAATGAAATGAAATTTGTGAAATTCAGACAGCACTTAATGTTGTGAACAGCTTCAATGACAGTTGTCCAGTAGTGCTCCTATTCTATTTATAACAATCCAATGCCTACGAAATTGTCCCGAATCTAATTTCGGCCCAATGTTCTGAGTGACTTACCCCTCGAGAAAACCACTTTTTAGAGTTTTCTGTGAAGGTTTAGACTACGAAAGGGTACGGATGGATTTGAGGGTTTAGGCTATTTAAATATTTACACTACATTCAACTCTCCACAACTCGATGTGCACTAACTCGATATCGAGTTATAGAACCATAGTAAACATGAATTTCATGGCTACTGCGATGGTAATTTTCTATGGGATTGTTGTTTTATGACTCGATGGTCCCTTCAATATCGAGTTGTATGGTGATCACTGTACTTACTTTAATCTACTGGTTTAGAACTATTGAAACCATCGATTCCTTTTTCCGATTTTTTGCACTTCTGAGGGTGTCCAATTTGTGTTAGTTCCAGGCCAAATAGGAAAAAAAATATAACTCGACATTCTCCGATTTGAATAAAACTTTGCAGAATTGTGTTTGCATTTGCAAGAACGGAATGAGACTGGCGAGCTGTATGTTGTTTGAAACGAGTGTGACGCGCGTGGCATAGATGGACCACAGCGGCTCACGACAAGCAACTGCATCCGAGTAGCGGTGCAGGTTCTTCCTACTTCTTCGGTGAATCGAGGACTCTTGAGGGCAGCCTTGATAGCTAGCTGCTTGCGGGGAGCCTTTCGTTGTGAACTGGAGATGACGACCGAACACCACCACTCACCACACGATTGAATAAACACCGTTCGGCAAGACCAGATGGAATTCGACTTTGAAATCTGTGTTAGGGAAAGCGCTTTTCGCAAGCAAACGGTGATAATTTTAATTATCATAGCAACAGTTGCACATTCGTGCAATTTTCAATAGCGATCTTTTGAAAATTGATAAAGTCTTAATTTTAACAGATTTGTAGAAAAATTTCCTATCGATTGGCATATCTATCTATCTATATATATAAAAATGAATTTCTGTCTGTCTGTCTGACCCTTATAGACTCGGAAACTACTGAACCGATTGGCGTGAAAATTTGTATACAGGGGTTTTTGGGGCCGTGGAAGGTTCTTATGATGGTTCGAGACCCCTCCCCCTTCTGTAAGGGGGGGCTCCCATACAAATGAAACAGAAATTTCTGCATAACTCGAGAACTAATCAAGCAAATGGAACCAAATTAGGCATGTGGGGGCGAGTGTGGGGGTGTAAGGAGATAATCATAGGGGGTAGCCCCTTAGATAATAGGGGGGGGGGGCTACGTACAATATAGCATGCTTTTTTTTAAATCGGCGCATAAACTCAAGCTAATATTGAATCCCGAGCAAGACCGGGCACACTCAGCTAGTTAAGAATAAAATCCAT